AAACTGGTCAGGAGCTTTGTGGGAAAGCAATAGTGTTACAGTCACGTTTTAGGTGCACACACTTTAGGTTGGTGGTCAACAATAATGGGCAAAACAGTGAAAAAGCGATGTGCAACAAAACAAAAAGAAACTGAGGAGCAATTGCCAAAGCGTGACTACAAGGAAGCACTCTTGACAGACATGAAATCTAAAATTGAAAGTTTTTGATTTAGGATACCTGGATTAAACCATTTTCTGTGAAAAGGTTGCAGAGGAGTCCATGCCTTTTGGGGATTGACACTTTGATGGTTTAATTTATTTAAAAATCTCTATTTCCCTATAACACGCTATAATATTTTATTTTCATTTTTTTGAAAATTTTACCTTATTTTATAAATAATGAACATTGATTTGGTTGAAAAAAAGAAAATTTGGCAAAAGTAGCCCTGCAAAGGTTTCGAGTAACCTCAAGTCCATACCAGGTTCTAACTTTAATTTGAAATTTGATGAATGAACTCTGTATTGTGCTGTGTTCAAAGTACTATATTCTCATGCAAGTGGACTGAACTTGGTAATAATTCAGCAAATTTTCAAGAATTTTTGAATAGAATAAATTCGGTTACAGTTCTAGAAATTCCACTTCAAGTGTTATTCAATATGTAGTTTGAATTATGACATTGTGATTTTTGGAGTCATTTTGGCTAAAAGATATTGTAGTTTCCTTGCAATTTTGCCTACATGTGACATTTTCCTTCATTGGAATGGAAAGTACGCTTGATTATTATCGCTTTCTGTATCTAAAATGCCCTAAAATAAAAGAATTTAATTGTCATAAATTTAGTACTTTTTACATCCTCTCACTGATGATAAATTTCATCACACTATTATCAAAGTGGATCTGCTAGCACTGCCGAGTGGATCTGAAGCTACTGTAGCAATGTTATGATGCACTTTATTGTCAATAAGAGGACACACACAAAAAAGGTTGTGTCAATAGGTTGAATAAAAATAAGAATTTGTTAAGCATTCATCTTTAGGATTTCATTCTTTTTATGGAACAAATGTAGCTCTCAGAACCAAAAACAATGACCCTTCTCTGAGAACTAATTTAAGGACGTTCGCGCTAATTGTTTGTGCGCATCCTTACTGCACACACAAATTCACACGCCATGTCATGCATGAAAGCGCGCTAAGTAATAAAATGAACTATGATAGGGCAGATGGCCATTGCTATAGCTTTGCCTGGATTTAACGATCT